GCCTATAAAACTTATAACGAATAATAAGCCAATCTCTGATCCGAAACAGGTATCAAACATATTTAATCATTATTTTGCAACAATAGGTAAACCGGTTCACAGTGACGAACATTGCGGAGATGGGAGGTGCAACGAGCAACCCCCCCGCGCGCCCCGCGGTCACCCCGTGATCCATCCTACGGAAAACACAATGTTCCTCGCGCCCGTCGAACCGCAAGAAATAAATAAATTATTAAAATCCTTAAAAAATAAAGATAGCCACGGTATAGACGAGATTCCACCTTCACTAATGAAAAAATGCGCAGATGAACTAACATTGCCATTTTATTTACTCGTAAATCAATCTTTTGAAGAAGGAGTTTTTCCAAATAGCCTAAAAAAAAGCGTTATAAAACCTATCCATAAGAAAAACGAAAAAACGGACCCCGGTAACTACCGCCCAATAGCATTATTACCTACGGCTTCAAAAATTTTCGAGAAAGCGATGTGCGACCGTGTTTACAAATTTTGCGAAAAATTTAAAGTATTCGACGAGTGCCAAAATGGGTTTCGCAAAAATCGTTCCACTACCTTAGCTGTATTTAAATATGTCCAAGAAATATTAAACACGCTAAACGACAAGAAATATGCCGTCGGGCTACTACTCGATATGACAAAGGCTTACGATAAAGTACAATATGACATCTTATTAAACAAACTACACGGAATAGGAATACGCGGTATAGCTCATAAATGGTTTCAATCGTACCTACGCGATCGCGAACAAATAGTTGAGATCGAACACTTTAATGAGTTGACCGGAGAAATATCGTACGTGCAAAGTGAATCAATAACAATAAATGCCTCCATCCCTCAAGGAAGTGTGGCTGGCTGCCTTTTGTTCTTAGCATATATTAACGATTTCCCGAAAATAATACACGAAAATTGTGTATTATTTGCAGACGACATATCCCTACTAATAAGCTGCAAAAACGATACTAATATCAATGAAAAGTTACACGAAATAATGGACAAAACAGTTGAATGGTTGAACGATCACAACTTAAGCGTAAATTACGAAAAAACTAAAGTAATGGCATTTTATCCTCACCAAAAAGCACCGTTAATCCCAAATCTAGTATATCAGGGTACACCTATTCAAACTGTGAACAGTTTTACACTCCTAGGTTTAGATATTGACACACACATAAACTGGAAACAGCACATAAATAAATTAAGGTCAAAATTAACTAAATTCACGTACGCACTCCGAGAGATTAAAAAAACAACTGATCTGGAAACGGCATTATCTACGTATTATGCTTATGCATATGCATGGTTTTCTTATGGCGTCCTTTTATGGGGATTTAGTTCAAATGCGCCCGACCTATTTACCCGCCAAAAAAAGCTAATAAGAATACTAGCAAATATAAATACCACCGATTCATGCAAACCATATTTCAAGGAATATAAAATTCTAACGTTACCTAGTATTTATATCTTGGAATTATGCAAGTTTGTGCGAAAACACCCACAGTTCTTTACTAAACGCTCGGATCTAGTAACTAACTACACGTTCCGTAACAACAGGCTGATGTTACCTACTTCAAGGCTTACTTTACTTTGCACTCGACCAGCCCCTACGTAATGGCTATAAAAGTTTACAACAAGTTACCGGTACACATAAAGAATGAAACCAAAGATAATTTATTTATAGGACATTTAAAAACATTATTAGTAAATAAATGCTATTATACTATAGAGGAGTATTTAGAAGATAAATTAAAATAAGCCACAATTATAAATTAAATGGATAAATAATAAGAAAACATGAACTAAATAAAGCAATTAAATAAACACTATTATATAAATAAACGGATTAATTAATTAATAAATAAATACTTACGGACTGATGGATTTTTAATTTAATATTAATAATATAAATAATTCTTAAATGACAAATAAAATAATTAACTTCAAATGTATTAGGATTAGGTGTATTATAGGTATTAGGTAGATTAAGATACAAGCTAAATTACTTTTTTAATTGCATGATGAAAAAGTCTTCCTCTCTCCCAATATTGTTGTGCCCAACAGGGTCCATGTAATAAGTGCCTTACAAACTGTATTTTCTACCACCTATATGTAACACATGGTATGCAATAAACATTTGAGTATTGAGTATTGAGTATTGAAGTACCGTCGCCTACTGTCCTGCTACTCATCGGCAATTCCACTCATTGCCTATTTGTACTCACTCCGCACATCCACCGAAACATTCTCATTTCAGTCTCACGACTCGGCATTTCAGAACAGGTCTGATTGTCTATTACAAAGTCCTTTTTGCTTACATGCATAGGTACTACACTACAACACAGATGTGTATAAATAAATATCTGATTCATGATGGATTTCTGATTAGAAGAATAAACATCTGATCCACGACCGATTTCAACAGTGCGAAGACAGTTTGTGTTTGTAGCTTGAAATGTTGAATTTGCTACACCAGCTATCCATTACAAACTGTTTAATTTTTGTGGCCATTGCTAAGGCTTTTTGCCCGTTTAAAATTAATTATTTTGCTAATATACTTATTACTTAATAAGAACAAAACCGAAATATATCATCAGCATACATACTAACACGCGTGCATGCATGCATGAGACCTTGCGACGGTGTTCAAGGCTTTAAAATCTTGACTGAACCAGTAGCGCTGTATCAGCAACGAGCTTCTTGGCGCGTTTTTCAATTGAGTATAAGACCGTCAGTTTTTTGTCTGATCCATTCCAAAAGCGACAGCAATACTCCACACACGATCGGACTTGAGCTTGACATAACTGCAAAAGCTGGTGTGAATTGCCCCTTGACCTTCGATAAAATACCGAGCTTTTTGCCACAGTCGTGGCCACAGCTTTGAAGAAACTACAAAAGTTCAGGCTGCTGTAAGGGTCATATCGAAAAGATCAAGATGGTCAGAAATCGGTATGGATACATCTTGGACAGTTAGAGTCAGGCTTCGCAGAGGCAAGACACTCCTGTGTTTTCGATGAATTGAACTCAACCAGGTTAGCATCACCTTACTCCGAGATTGCATTATGCAACAAGTTAAACCTTTCGGCCATGGACTCTCGTCGTTTCTTTGCTAGCCTTCGCTTTGGGCATGTACTTCGTACGAAGGTGCTGTCATCTGCAAACCCAAAGGTGTCGGGCGCCAGCATGTTATTGATAAGCAGCAAAAATTGTTGACACTTGACTGCCGATGTGGCGCAGTGGCTAGTACGACTGCCTGCGACGCCGAAGGTTCCGGGTTCAGTTCCCGGTGGGGTCACTCACAAAGTTGATATTTATCACTTTGTGAATTTTCCCAGTCTGGTTGGGACATTGCAGGCTGAACCACTTGATTGTCTGAAAAGCAAGATGGTTCCGTGCTGAGGATGGGCACGTTAAGCCGTCGGTCCCGGTTGCTGTCTTGGTTGGTTTGGTACTTGCAGTAGGCGGTTGAAAACTCTGCCACCAGAGTTCATCGGGTCGTTGGACGACTTGGTGTCCCCATCTAAGAAGAAGAAGCAGAAACAGTGTTGTAGATAGTACAGAGCCTTGGGGGATTTCGGCATCTATGACCTGTTGGTCAGAAGAGCAGCCTTCTGATCTGACCAACAGGCCATGAGAACGCTTCGGTGGATGTCTCAAATAGGCAACGAGTGGAATTGCCGACGAGTAGCAGGACAGTAGGTGACGGTACTTTAGACATGTAAAACGCTAACTCCTTCTTAACGACGCAACGGATTTTGATGCGGTTTTTTAATAAATAGGTATAGTGATCAGAAATGCCGTGTGGTGACGGCGTAGAATAGCATCACGCTCTATCATTCCCGTGGGTGGGTGTCGTAAGAAGCGAATAAGGGATTTGAGAGTAGATGTGTATTACAATTTTAGGCACCAGGCTGACAACCTGTCACTATGGTAATGCACAGTCTTCATTGTTACTCTCAATTTTTGTAAGATGTGGTGTAGATTGCCGTTTTTTGCAGTTTGTTTGCGCTCTGCCTACCCCGCAAGGGATATAGACGGCATATATGTGTGTATGTGTTTAAGTGATTCACAAATGTGGATCCAACGTGCGCTGGGGATGCCATCCCGTCGTAATGAAGATAATTAAGGCCTACAATCTTTTGTTTTAAGCCCCAGCATAAATGATTACAAAATGTGATTTTTCTCGGTTACCCCGCGAGTTAGAAAAATGTCGCTACAATAAAAATTAACACCTAACCATGATCTCTCAAATGAGATATATTTCATATCTGTTGATCCATATTTACCCTGATTAGAGGAGGGGGACGGGCTCCTAGGACAAACGGTCATCGTCCTTTGTTGCTTTTACTTACAATGTTTTGAAGTGAAGGTTTAGTTAAAACGGTGTTGTGCCATCCCTACAGTCACCCACACGTATAAGCAAAACAAATGTCAGTTTTGACATTTGTTTCGTATCAAAAACAGACAAACCCCCTGAGAATTTTTCTTAACTTTTTTGATACCAGACGTCATACTTGTCTATAAGGATTCCATGTGTGTGTGTGGGCACAAAATAGAGTGTTTACAGAAGGATCACTCCACCCTTTAGAATTTTCGCGATTGTCACCTGTTTACATAGCCAGGGTTGCTAGATTCAATACGAGGACGACATACAGCTATAAATATGATACAAGTACGTAATATGATTCTGAGCCGATTTGAATGCAAAAAATACGACGTTCGTGGCAACCATCTTCTTAGTTACCTTGAGTACCTCTGAGATTCCAGTTCATTCCAGTAAACGTTAAAATCGTCGCTAGTACTGAGTGAGACATCTGTAAAGGCGTTTCGTTCGCCGTCTCCCTAATTTGTGGTGTTGGTTTCAGTATAGTTTTATGACAAGTTCATTTGACAATGTATTGGGATTTTTAATGCACTCACTGTGCAATATTATTCTTATAAAATGAGAAATGAGAAACCTGGGACCGTGGGGTACCGTTCCCCTGCTCGCACCCGTAGCTCAGTTAGTAGAGCAGTGGAACGGTACTCCACGGTCCCGGGTTCAAGTCCCGGCGGTCGCTAATGAATTTTTCAATTTTCTTATTTTCAAGTCATTTGACAACCCTAGCGGGAGTTGCGGACCCGCTGCACTAGCTAGAGCTTTTTTACCCACAAAATAATTTGCATATCAATCATGTTATGAATATTTCCCCCGTAAATATTAAATATACGCTGCGAAACTGTTTCAGCTTTTTGTGAAACTGAAAATATGGAAATGGACGCTTGTAAATTATGGATTTGAAATTTAGAAATGATTTGAGATATCTAATTGCTATTACATTCCAAAATACTTTTAGTAACAGATCGAATGAACTTCTATTTGTTTGTGAAACAGTCAATAAATTAGTTAGTACGTTATTTGCATAAAACTGTCATATTGTAAGAAATACCTAAATATTGTGTTATACTACTATCAAGTACTTTGATTTGATAATAATATTTTAATATAATATTTAATTTATAGCACCTTGCGCCAAGTTTATTAAAATAGTGTGAGAAAGCGAGATACTAAAAACTCGTAGCCGTAGCAAGTGCTACGATGCTCATAGCACAGTGACTACGAGGCTACGTCGTATCGTAATAGTGTATGGCACAAGCTCCACAGAGTAGTTGTGAGACGCGAGACGTGCGACATCGCGACGCTTTAAATCGTTTCCATATAAAATGTATGAAACAGAAGAAACAACGCTACTCATATCAGACGCGCGTTACATCGATAACGGCTGACGATCGCTTGTCTGACAGATGTCATGTTTTTTGTCGTCGCGCGTCTATTCTCGGAGCTCGCTCCTAAAAATGTGACGTTTTTAGACATAGTTGTAGTAATGCAAGAGCCGAATGCAGAAATACCTATCTCATCAGGTACCACATCAGGGTAACTTTAGAACATTAGCTGACACGTAAACACGTAAGACTTTGAGTTTTTTTAAATAATTTATCAATGGTGAACTGATAGCAGCACTTTCATTCTAGTACCTTTAGACATAATTTTAACAGATCACAAATTATCAAAAATTATCTTTTATTTTCATCTTTTCGCAAGCTTGGCTCTATCAAATCTGGGTCTTTCGACTTGCTTACGTTACGAGTCGGTTAACGTTCGAAAGTTAGCCTATTGTGGTACCTGGTGAGATATGTATTTCTGCAGCCGGCTTTCCCACTATACTAGAGGTATAGGCTGGTGTTGTGTGTGTACCTATCGTAACTATGAACCTATTTACTTGTCATGTACGGGAAGTAGGACAAAATTATGAAAAAAAAATTGGACAACCCATACAAAATGTACCATGAACGAACATTCAACAAATAGATGTGTTAAAAACAAAAAACCCGACTGCGGTAATTTTAAAGTAGTGTTTTGCTGTAAAAATTCGCCATCTTAAATCTATATTTTTTAATATAGCCAGTGTCACTCGCGCTGCTGAGACGAATCTAACGACACCTCATATGTCAAAATCCATCTATCCGTTTGGGCTGTAGCCCGTGAAAAAGAATTTTCTTGTCCACGTATGTAACATACTCTCGAAAAACATAACCCTCCTTCTGAGGCAGTCGGGTAAAAATCGTGCTCCAGGTGGCATCGATCGGTCGCGTCATCTTTACGGGCAATAAAGTTTTATGCCGCGCGCGAACCACCAGTAATTGCTGCGTTGACGGCAGATGCACAAAGTATGTATTGGCAGGTGCCAATCCAGAGAGCCGGCTTCAAGGAAACGTCGTATACAGGGAGTAACAGAAAGGGTATAACAAGCTGAAAGGATGTCAAGGTACTCATGGAACATAGGTCGAAATATGAAAAAAAAATTTGGACTATCCATACAAAATGTACCATGAACATTCAAAAATCGTGCTCCAGGTGGCATCGATTGGCCGCGTCATCTTTACGGGCAGTAAAGTTTTATGCCGCGCGCGAACCACCAGTAATTGCTGCGTTGACGGCAGATGCACAAAGTAAGTGTTTGCAGGCGCCAATCCAGAGAGCCGGCTTCAAGGAAACGTCGTATACAGGGAGACACAGAAAGGGTATAACAAGCTGAAAGGAGGTCAAGGTACTCATGTAACTGAACAACTTTTCCCTTGGAACATGGGTCGAAATATGAAAAAGAAAATTGGTCATCTCATAGTAAATTTTTCCAAGTCCAAATTTTTTTTAACATTTCGACCCATTTTCCATAGGGAAAGTTGTTCAGTTTCATGAGTACCTTGACCTCCTTTCGGCTTGTTATACCTTTTCTGTTACTCCCGCTATACTCACACAGACATCCACACGCCGTCGTTTACGCGCAATCTCGGACCGGTTCGAACCGGCTAGCAGCGAATGTCAACAGCGTTCGGTGCGAGCGGACAGCAAAATTACGACTCTCAAGTGCCAATATTTTTGTATAATATGTTGTTTATACGTACACTATACGTTTGAATAGGTATAAAGTTAGTAATGTACCTAAGTATGTTTGACCCAGGTACGGCAGAAGAAAAAAAGTAGCAACCCAAGAGTGTAGGCATAAATGATCAGAAGAAGGGGCGAGCTATCTTTCTGTAAATTCCCTATTCTGTGGCAGATGGCTTTGATGACTGTGATGGTTGTAATGGCTGTGATGGCTGCATTAACGGGATAAACGAGTGCATGTTCAAATGGCCGTGTGTGTGATTGCTAGATGCAGCTTTTGATGGTATACAGAGCCGTAAAAATACTCATTTTGACGTTCAGCCATTTTCGCAGTCAATCCCATGAAAATAAAAATAAACACTGTTAACATAGAGTGAAATTTTACTAGTGACCGATAGCGAAAACTCAGATTCGGCTGGTGATAAGGAACAATTTTCCCCAAGCAACATAGGTCGAAATATGAAAAAAATATTTGGACCTCCTCCGATACAAAAGTACCGATCAGCTGATTTGAGTTACTGTGGGAGGCCCAATTTTTTTTTTCATATTTCGTCCTATGTTCCTTGGGGAAAGTTGTTCCTTATCACCAGACGGTTCTGAGGTTTCGCTATCGGTCACTAGTAAAATTTCATCCTATATAGACATAAGCATTAAGCAATGGGCATACATTTACATGCATGCACAAACTCAATAGTTAAGGTTTACTGCAATAAATACATTTCTATATGGAGCAATATTCGTTGACTCATGCAATTTAATTATTTTGCTCTGCGTAAATAACAACAAAAATATTTGGCACCGAAATCACACGCGAATCATGAGCGTGTGCACAGTGTGATAAAAACCCTAATTTTGTTTCATGCCGATTTTATTTCAAAAATCAATACTTTAGATCAGTCTAAGCACTAAACTGAAACTCCGGCTTGGATATCTTCAGTACTTCTTTTTTTAAAAATCGCCAAAGTTGACGAAAATCGGGGTCATTAAAATGATAAAATAATTAATAATTAAAAAACTTGCCCATTTATTCTAATTGCGACTAAACACATTAATAACACACATCATAACAGACATTTAGTTAAAATTTTCGTGTTCAAAAAGTGAATAGATAAAGAAATTATGTTATTTTTTGTAAATTTCCTGTCTTATTTTTTTTTTCGCCTTAATTTTCCGTAGTAGACGGAGATTCTTGACCAGGTGATTCTTTGTTCCTACATCTATTAATAAAATTAAAATCACGATGTAATTCAGCGTTATTCAGAAATTATAAATTTTTAAAGTTATATCCGAATATTTTTGGCCTAGGGTTGTCACTACCCGGATATTTAAATTTTCGTAGGTAATATTTTTTTCAAACAAGATTAATTTGTCTCTATAATACTTTATTTAGGCACGTTCATTATGTACTAAAATTTCAGTCATATCGCAGTTATTTATAGACAAGTCGGACTCGCGCCCTCTTCCGTCTTGCATTAAAGGACAAAAAAATTTTTTTCGCGATTTCGCAGGTGACCCCATACTAAAAGTTGTTCAGAATCATGAGTAGAATCACCCTGCAAAGTTTCCTGGGTGAATTAAAAATAACCGTGTATATTCCTACCTGGATAAAATAATCATGGTAGGTGACAACCCTAACCCAAAAAGAATAAAAATTAATATTTCGTGAATAACGCTGAATTATATTGTGATTTTAATATTATCGATAGAGGTAGGGGTAAACAATCGACTGGCCCAAAATCTCCGTCTACTACGCAAAATTGGGCAAGAAAAAAAATTATGGTAAAAGAACAAAATAAAGAATATTACGTTAAATAATAGCTTTATAAATACGAAAACTTGTTAGATTTGTGTAATAATATGAGTAAAATGATTGTGTTAAATTGCAATTTAAATAACTATTTTCCTTATTTTTTTATTAATTATTTTTGTTATTTTACTGGCCGGATATCCGGAAACTTTAACGTTTTTTTTTTTTAAATGTACTTGAGATATCCGAGCCGGAGTTTCAGTTTAGTACTTAAACTGAAATAATGCATTGATTTTTGAAATAAAATAGACATGAAACAAAATTAGTGTTTATATTCGCTCGTCTGTGGCAAAGTCCCATATGGGACTTTGCCACAGACAAGGCCTACCTATAAAAAATGGCGCCACAGAAGAGAGGTTATCACACTGTGGTGTGATATCGTAGCTACATACTACGCCGTAGCCTCTGTAGCGCGTAGGCATAAAAATATCAAGTTAGTTCTAAGCAAAGACCGCGCGCATACCGTTTAGGGTACGCTTATTAACCGGGCGTCGCCACAACGACGCCGTCAAAATTTGACGCCGCCAATGTCGCTGCGCGGTCTTGTAGAAAAACCCGACCCGACCGCATCAACTGACAACGCCATACAAACCCTGAGCACTGTCAACGTGACGGCGACACGGCGGCGTCGTTGACACTGACGCCCGGTCTTTCTGATACCCCCATACAAACCAGTCATTTGACAGCGACAACGACGGTATCTTTACTTGAATATTTTTACAACCTCATGTTATCTGCAGCTCATTTTGTAACTTCGAGTGTATATTCGCAATAAGGCGCATCTTTATTAGGTAATGTTTTACTGAGTCATAGCGTACGTACATTTA